GGGGTGCATCTGTCTTTTTCAAACTGGGCTGTTACATTCTTAGGGTAAATTCCTAGAAGTGGAATTCCTGGGAACTTATTCTTATAATGACCATGAATGCAACCCCTTTCACCTCAGTCCCTATACCAGCATTTCGGGGTAAAGGTGACTCCAACCTCTGAGCCTTTACAATTTTTGTAATAGGGACGAGCTTGTTTCTTGCTGAATTTCCCCTTACAGGCTTACAGTTTAGCTTTTTCTAGTTTCTTAACTCAGTTACTATTTGTCCATTTAATTTTCCTTCACCAAAATCTTGTTGACATTTCTCTTCTTTTGTATTTGCTTTCGGTCCCTTTATCCTATGTTCTTGCCATTTCATCTCCTTTATTGTCATTATAGTGAATTTTCCAGAGGGAGAAAAAAAATTAGTTCATGTTTAGCCATGTTTTCATTGGAATTCTTACTGCAGTGGGTATGTACATTTTATATTGTACTAAATATTGTTTAATTGCTTTCCAAGGTGCTGCACTGAGTCATGTTCCAACCAGTGGTTGAGAATTTTTATTTGTGTACATCCTCACCAGCTTTTGATATCATCTGAAATCTTTAATTTTGACCTATCTGATGGGTGAAAAGTGCTACGCAATTTTTACTTTAATCAGCATTTCTCTGGAAATAGAAGTAGCTGTCAGATGAGTGTGAAGCCTAGGGATGGTGGGGGAGCTCCTAGGTAGGTGCCCTTTGCTTCAACAAGCCTCTCCATAAGCACAGAGGAATGGCCTAGGGTTCATTTGTCCATTTTGCTTTCATCTAGTAGACAGGCAGGAAGCCCACTTGCCACTCTCATGGGGGTTCTCCTGTCCCTCAGCCTCCCTTTGAGCATTCTGGCTAAAGTCTTCCTCCAAGTGGGTCTGCTGTCCAGTACTGTGGGGCTGGGGACAAGAGAACCCATACTTCCATCTCCTGTTCTGCTCTGTTAGGCCCCATGTCATTTGCCCTTAAAGATAGCTCCATTCTGGGACAGTGTCTATGACATCCTTGTAATGGTGGTGCAAGGGAGAGAATTACCAAATCTATTATTCTGCATTGCATGATTTTAATTTCCTCACTGTCTAGTTGTGATTGCAAGGCTGGAAGTCCTAACCTATAGGCTAAAAGCGTTCTTCTGTGAATTGATTATATCCTTTGTCATACTTATATGAACTTGTTTAAATGCCTTTCACTTTGTCTAACTTGTACAAACATTTTAAATTTTGTTGTAGTGAGTCCTACATCTTTCCCTTTATGATTCATGTTTTCTATTTGAAGAACTCTTTCCCCATCCCAGTCATAAAAGTTATTGGAAGAAAATGCAAGACTAAATTTGAAGTGTGCTTTTCACTTTTAGCTATTTGATCCATGGAGGATTTATTTTTGTATATGACTTAAAGTAGAGATAGGATTGTATTTTTCCCCATATAATAAGCCAAGTTCCCCAGAGCATTTAGTAAATCATCTGGCCTTGGCCCACAGATGCTGCCCAAACTGTGTCTGCTTGCCCATTCATTGTGAAGTCACTGCTTGACTGGTGGCTAGAATGGCCTAGAATAGTGCCCTAAATACAAGAGTGCTCAAAAATAGACTAAGTATTTATACCTCTAAAGCTTACATTCTAGGGGCACCCTTCAGCTCTTTGTTTGAACATCTCCCCTGGGCAGCTTTCACTGACTGACCGTCTCCCACACGTCCATTTCTGCCCACCAACCAATACTATGGTGGTACAGGGAGAGAACTAGCAAATCTATTATTCTGCCTTGCATGACTTTAATCACACATATTATCTTACCTGCTAGGTTCTTAGTGCTCATTCGCAGGCATCAGGTCTTTTTCATCTTGTTCCCTCAAATCTAGCATGTGCTAGTGGTCATCTGTCAAAATTGTTCTAGAAATTTTGTTATAAACTTACCCCAAATATGACTCCAAAAGGGTTTTAGGGCTAACAGGGCACAAAACAAACAAAATTAAACTACATTTTGATTTCCTTTCTTTAATACTCAGCTACAGAGATGGTATGACATTTAATTACATATTTGCTTTCATTTAAGTTAGTACAGCTATAAATTGTGAATGTTGGAAGAAAGTAAATATGCTTAGCTAGAACAAATATTACTCAGGATAAAAATACAGACACACAAATATAATGCTAATCATGTACAGTATGGACCATCTTATAAAAATGTGTACATGTATGGGATAAATCTGACAAAAGGGTGAAATTTGTTTCCTCTATGGTAATTATAGCAGAAGACTTAATTGATTTCAGCTATGATGTGGTTGCTCAAACATACCCACACACTCACATGTATCTAAGAGGGGAATTTTCCATTAAGTAAATTTGGAAAAGTTTAAAATTTCTGGTTCAACACTTTAGAAAGCCATCCCAGGTAAGCTTTATCAAAATATCTGATGTTGGTGTCATTCACAAACACTCAGGGATAGGTATTTAAATGGAAATACAACAAAGTAATGGGAAAGCAACTTAGGTCATTTTATTTATTATATACTTATTTGTTGTCTGCTTCTCCCACTTGATTCACCATGATAATTCCAACATTTACAAGAGAGCTTGGCAATGAATACATATGCAGGATGCAAACAAGTGCTTATAACAAGACATTATTAAAGATGAGGAAGATATAAATTGATCTAGAGTGGGAATTATTTAGTCAAAAAGAAATAATCTTGAATGCATAGATTCTATAATCAGATAAAGCTAAAATTCCACTGCTCTATTGAGGCTATGGATCAAGTAACACTTTTCAACTGAAAATGAAATAATAGTTGAAAAGGGATTAAAACCCTTTAGAATTTTGGCAAGCCAAGCCCAAATCATTGAACTCTCCATTGCAGATCAAATGGACAGCTAGAAACTGAATAGGAGGGTTGTGTATGAAGACCTTGGTTCCAGCCATGACTATGTCACTAAGATTCTGGCCAAGGAGGCAGTTTCCTCAGTTATAAAATGGGTTAAGAATACTTGCCCTGCCTTCTTTACAGAATTGTAAGAATCAAGTACAATTAAAATTTATATATACTCATGCTTTGGTAATCTATTACAAGGAAGGTATCCTAATTACAATCTCCACTGAAAACCCAAATGTCACAGTGGCTGGCACCGTGCATAGGCCATTGGGTCTCCCTTGAAGGAACTTGCTCATCAAAAAGTGCCAGCCTCCAGCTGCAGCTCATGGCTTTGCTTTCCCTGGGGGGCCTTTGGCAGTGACTTAGCATGGGTGTGTACTAAGGCCTGGCATTTCTGCCCAAATGCTTTCCTCTATGGGCAATCTTTGCTCCGGATCTCACCTATGGACTGGCCCAGAGGCTCTCTTCCCAGCCCTGGTCCTTCTCCCTTATCTTTCTCAGGCATTATTACCTCCAACAGATGTTTGCATTTCTAACTCCTGTCCTGGCAGCTGAGCTCCAGAAGATCCAGCTAACATGGTCCCTCAAACCCCAGTCATCTAAAGCAAGCCCTATCAATATTGTGAATTTGGTATTTCTTTTCAGAGATTTTTCATATGTGTAAGTATTGTGGGCCTTTTATGATGGTTGATTTCTACTTCTTTTTCCCCTCTGAGCTGCATATCATGCATTTATGAATATGAGGAAATAAAGCATTTAAAAAATATGAGCCTCATAAAATGCTAACCACCACCTGATGTTCATCTACTTCAACAACAATGTTTGAGGAGACCCAGTAACATTTCCTGAGAAGATGGCATTGAAAGGCATGCCCCGTGCACAAGTGAATCAGAGGTCTCAGTAATCTCCTAATAGCCCCCTAGAGTGAGGGTCAGATTCTTCCTGCACACAAACTTGTGGCCTCTGCAGAGTGTTTCCAGGCTGGCCTGGGTTTGCTTGACCAGTTGAAAGTGGCCAGCAACCATACTGCCTTCAGCTCTGAGAAGTCTGCTCCTTAGCAGCCAACCTCCAATGTAAACACTCGTGTCTCCTGGTTCATATGGTATCCTGTGCAGGCGTACCGGAAGGCAGGCTCAGTCGGGTATCAAGTGTTCCCACTGTCCAGAGAGCTTCTTCTCGCTGCTCCTGATCTGACTTAGCATCATTCTTTCACTGTGACTTTGTGAAAAGGCAGCCCGTTCAGTGGCTGGTGGGTTTCTGGCTGCTAACAGTTCCCCCAGAGCCCTTGTCATCTGATTTTTAGACAAGTGATAATCCTGAACATTAGTTGTATTGTTTTCATTAATGTCTTCTAACTGATGTCTTGCCTTCTGATTCGATTTTGGTTTTAGTTCTGCATTAAAGCTACAGTTACATAAATACTCCATAAATTTCACATGTGGGCTTTGGTAACACTTGAAGTCATTATGTATATTAATTTCACCCAAAACTCTTTTTTTTTTTTTTTTGCTTAACTTATTCCACTGCAAGAGTTTATTTATATATTTTAATGTGGGTTAATCTCTATTTTCAAATTGTATGTGTGTCTCTCTTTAATTTAGCTTTTCAACTTGACTGTACAGTCTCATAGTGTACCTGGGAAGATGTACTTGGATAGAGCCAGGCAAAGTGGATAAAAATCTGCACTCTCATATTGAGGAAAATCAGTAACCTCTTTGAGCCTCTGTTTTCTCTTTTGTACTATAAAACAGGAATGAAATGAGATCCTCTTGGCCTTAAGAAGGCACAGTACCATGAAGGGAGCAAGGTTCCTGCAAGACAGTACTAATTGGAGGGCAGTTCTTTTCTCCTTTGAATGGAAGTCCACAACTGGAATTTTAAAAGAAATTGTCATTTTACTTCCATGTAAGCTTAGTCCCTTACTATGAATCAGCTAATTCTATTTGTCTTAAAGCTACTCTAAACAGAGTGTGCAAGAGACTGGTCCTATGGCCTTTCCACACTGCACTGAAGCCCTTCTGATTCCTGTCTTTCCAGTGATATTCACCAGTGTTCTTATTTTCCTGCTACATTCTTTCCTTATAAGTGAATGTCCAGAGGAGCTAACATTCAGCAATATCTTTAGCATAAGGAATCACAAAAACATTGTAAATTCACACGTCCAAACATTTCTGAAATAAAGGAAGTCAGGGCCAGGTCCTCTAAAGAGCATAGGTTTGGGAATCTTACACAGGCCTGTCGTGAACTAGCTGTGAACATTTGAGCAACAGCTTCTTGTAGCCTTTGTTGCTCATCTGTCACCTGAGCATAATGATTAAGCCTATAGTTTGTTCTTCAGCAGATGTTTTTTTTTTAAAAGGTAGCTTTTATTTTTGCATCTTATAAATACTTCTTCTGTAGTTTGAACTTTCAAAACCATGATTGATTTTCCACTTTTCATTACAGAATGCTTTTCTTTACTATAAGGCAAAGTAATCCCTTAAAGCCACAGAAAACCTTTTGAAATAAATGAATAATGATGGGAGCGCTGGATGCACTGAACTGAAGATAAAACCAAGCTCAGGCTACCAAGGAGAGAGGTGTCTGCTGAAAGGGAGTGGCCGAGTCAGGAAGCATTGTTCCTTGTGGATTCCAGTTTTATCTTTCCCGTCAACTAGTATGATGGGAAAATACTTGTAGTGTTCAATGATGTCTTCTACTGAATTGAACTTCTGAAATAAAGAGAAGAAAATTAGAATGTAAGGATCCTTTGTGTCTCTAGCTTGAAGTACAGCCTATTGCCTTTTACTTAGGGAGGAGGGTAAGTCATTTGAAATGTTTTGGATTGTAAAGGTGTATTGGAAAATGATTTAAGAAAATAAAAGAGGATGTGGCAAACAAGGTTTTGAAGGATGAAGGATAAGAATGGTAAGACAACGAGGGAGAATAAAGATGCTTGAGGTGACCAAAAGTGAGCAGATCAAGACTTGGTCTTCATTTAGTGACTTGGTGGGAAAGGCTTGCTGTGACCTTTTCCTCCGTGAAGCCCTCTTATCCTGGCACATCTGAGTAGAGTCAGACAGAGCAAGGATAACCACAGGGCCATTGGTAGTTCTTAGAGGGTTTAGCTTCCTTCCCTGGGCTGCTTGTGAAATAAAGAGATGGCTTTTTATGTTTCTAGAGACGTATAGAAAAAAATGAGATGGCGGCGTAAGGGAGAGTAAGATTATTTCAAGGTTGGGGGGATTAGGAAGTGCTTTGTGGAAGATGTAGAACTGACATGGGCTGTACATTCTGGGTGATTCTAGATGAATGGTCAGGGAGGGTTTAATAAGAATGGTAAGAGGAGAAAGACGCATGTGCAAAGAGGTGTTGGAAACCTGCGGGCGCAGCCAGGGATTCCTGTTAGCTGGGTTGGATGAGTTCCTGAAAGGACTTTTGGTCACTAAGTAGCAGGAGCTGGCTCAGCCTGCCTGCGGGCCTCAGCCAAGGCTGATCCTCCTCAGCCATCTGGGAGGTGAGCATGGCAGGTAGGATGGCCTTCCCTGAAGAGCTGGGGAAGCTGCAGCCCAGAGACAGGCGCTGACTTACTCAGAGCTCACACAGCCGCACGGCCAGGACCAGGAGGGGAGCCTGCCTGTTCTGGACACATGCCTGTCCCTTCCTTTATGGCACCTTGTCTATGGCTTGTGATCCTGGTATTCCATCAGATCAGGAGAGGGACCACCCAGCCAGACAAGGGGGGCTGCTGGGGATGGCTGCTTCTGCTTTGGTCCGTCTGTGCAGGACAGCCCAGCCCAGAATGCTCACAGGCCTTAGGGACAGCCACCCGCAAGGGGATTGTCAGGTCCCCGACCTCATGGATGGCATTCAGATGGGAAAAAGAGCTTCCTGAACAGGCAGGTCATTTCACTTAGGGATGCTGTGCTGAGAGAATCATCAGCTTGAGGCTAGAACCCAGGGGCCTCCCTCAGGGCTGTGCACGGCTGCTGGGAGGGGACTCTGTTTTCCTCAGGGAGCACCTCACTGAAACCCTGTGACTGCCGCGGCTGCCTCCTCCTTCCCACCACACGGGGAGCGTGTGGCAGGCATCATGTGGGTGGAAAACCATGAGGGAAGGCGCATGGGATGGTGATGCTCCTGACACTGACCAGTCTCCGGACCTACTCCCTTCCTGTCCTTCCTGGTGACTGAGTCAACAGACTCCTCGCTCCCACCTAAGCTCCTGTGAGGTGGGTGTGTCTTTTCACACTTAAAGAGTCTTGATTAAATCTGTAAGTGACTTGCCCCTCTGAGCCTGTCTGTTACTGATCTGTGGCAGAGTTTTCAATGAGATATCCCATCTGTCCGCCCTAACAGGTATGCAATAAATATCTGTTCCTACTTCCTGTGAAGGAAGGTGGTTTCCCAGTTGTCCAATGGGAAAATTAATTGCTCTGCTACAGAAATTATAAGTGAAGGGTCTGTGGAGGCCTTTTGCTTGAGTTCCAAGCTAGGCCCTCCCCACCCTCTAGCTGTGTGACCTTGGGCAAGGTTCTTTGACTCTCTGTCTCAGGATGTCTGTTTCCAAACACTGATGGTAATGCTGGGGCGTCCTCTGAGGGCCATGGTGAGGATTCATTGAGGTGGTGCATATACAGCATTTGGAAGAGCTTAGTATGCAGGGAGTGCCCAGTGAGTGTCAGTCATGGCTGTGACCTCCTCTTTCTAGGTTTGCTGAGAACAGGATGAAAGAGCAACGACTTCACCAGAGAAGTTTACGGACTCTCATTGTAAGTGTTTGGGGAGAAAGGACATTTTTGCATTTCATTTCCAGTTATACACGAAGTGCAGGCCTTTCTTTCTCTTTCTTCGTACTTGACAAAACTAAGTGATTAATGAAAAGAAACTTTTCATGCAGAACTCTTGCACAAAATTGGTTAACCCACATAGCACAAAAGAAATTCTCTTTTCTGGTATTAATCTCCAGAGGGAAACGCTTGCTTTGTATTCTCATTCCTGCTTTCTTTAGGATGGCCTAGAAATAATGAGTTCAATGTTCATTGTTTTAATAATCTACTATATGGATGATATTTTATATGAAATTATAATTTTAATAAGTCGTAGGGAGCAAGGCAGGAGCAATAAATCATACTGTCATTTCTTATTATGCACTTGTAACGATAGGCCTGCAGCTGATGTATTACCTGAAAGAGACTTCTAAAAAAGATTATATTTAAGCTCTTATTTTTCTCTTGAATGACTTTTTTTTAGGAGGACAGCAAACATCATCCTAATATTAGATCTTAACGTTTGTCAAAACCTTCTGTGTTTGGCCTTTATACTAACTGTAGTCAATGTTTCACTGCTGGAAAGGTAAGTCAATTTGGTTGGTACACACAGGGGAGTGAAAGAAGAAAAGAGAGAAAAAGAAAGTGAGAGATGTAAAAGGAGAGAGAGGAGAGAGAAGCAGAGAGGGGACGCGAGAGCCAAGCCATGGCTTAGCGGTTTGTCTCTGTCTCCTGGTTTTCAGAGTTTAATTTGTCAAGTAAACGTCTATCAAAATTTTTAGCAGCTTATCATAAACATTTGCAGGGCAAGGAAGAGTCTGATGATGGAAATTCCTCCGTTCCATGAACTTTCACAGAATGTTGACAAACGTGGTTTCTGAAACTTAGATGCAAGGTTGATGTTTGGTAGCAGGTAAAGCTCTGAAGGTTTATTAATGGCAGGTGCCTCACTGGCTGGCCAGGGGTGATATTCTGTCAGCTGCTAAATATTCCCCGTCTCACTCCTGCTTAGGTACATGTATAGACCGACACAGATTAGCAGGGTAGCCCCTGGATATTGGGGACTCCACCTTACTCCACTCTGTAGCCCCAAAATGGAGTATTGAGTCTAGCACAGTGTAGGCATAAAATGAATGCTTGGTCAATAACCAAGCAAATGGTGCAGGGGGCTGAATGGTGGTCCCCCAAAGATATGTCACGCCCTAGTCCTTGGAATCTGTGAATATTATGTTATACATCAAAAGAGTGAATATTTCTTAACATGACAACAGATGGGGTTAAGGGCTTAAGGGTCTGGAAGGAAGAGTTTATCCTAGGTTATCCCTAAAAGCAGCCACTTGTATCCTTGTAAGATAGGAGCAGAGGGAGGTTCATTCAGAGAAGAGGAGGGGCAGAGTGGCCACAGAGGCAGAGATCGGAGTCAAGTGGCCAGAGCAGGAAGACAAGGTCTGCTGGCCACCTCCAGAAATTGGGAGAGCTGAGGAAGGATCCTCTCCAGGACCTCCAGGACCGCTTTGCTGTGCTTGATTTCGGATTTTTCCAGAGCTGCAAGAGAATATGTTTCTCTTGCCGTAAGCCACCGTGTTTGTGGCACTTTGTGACAGCAGCCTCAGGAAATTAAGACTCTGGATTCTTGTTAAATCTGAGTTTCTAGGCATGTGGCTAAAAGAATGACCTAAATACCTAACATGCAGCAGCAAGGTGGGCTTTCCCAGGCTTATTCCTCGCGGGCATATGTGGGCTCGCTCGCCTTCTGTGCTTGTGAGGAGTGCGGACCGGCGGTGCTTTCCCAGGGCCTGGTCCTGCCTGCTCCTGCAGGTCCCACATCCCAGTGGGAGCTTTGCCTTGCCCATGCCTGGGAAACCCCTCAGGGAAGCACTTTCAGGAACCGTTGAAGATGGAAACCGATACCTGTTAAGCAGCTGGCTCTGTGTGTCTAGCACTCTGTTTACATCATCTCATCTTACACTTAAACTACCTCCCTTGGGACAGGTGTCGCTGCACTGTATGTGCGGTTAAATTCTTAAGTTTGCGAGGCAGCCAAGAAACCACACAAAATCCAATTATCCTTGAAAACCCTGTGTCTCATCTCAGTATGTTTGTCCCGGGGAGTCAGACTGAGATGGTATTTCTTTATTCAAGCATCAGATGGAGCCGCTAGCAGGTGGCTTGCATTTAGCAGAGCCTTGCTGTTCCAGATTCTTCTACCTTTTTTAGAAGATGGGAGATTCTTCCTCAGCAGGACAAAGGGCTGGCCTGTGACAGGCAGGAGGAAACTGAGAGCAATCAACATGCCGGGCTCCTGGCACCAGTGCTCGGCTCATTCAGGGGAAAGGCAGGAAGGGCCACCTATACATTGTCATTTCTCATCCAGTGCTTAGCACACAGTAAGCTGCGTGTAAGTGTTAGCTATTTTTCAACTGGGCTGTTTTTAAGCAGGCTGGGGATTGTTTGCGTTTGGTCATGATGTTGTCTGAAACAGTGTGAGGACGCCAATAATTTTAGTGACTACACTGAGCTCCAGGTTTGCCATGTACTAGCTGTGGCCGTGGACCAGCCACTTCAAATTACTGTGCCTCAGTTTCAACATCAGTTAAATGGACATGTCAACAGCACCTACCAGCACAGGGTTGCTCTGAGGATCTGAGTTACATCAAGTTAAAGAGCAATTGTTAATTGCACAGAATAGTGCCTGTGCATAGTAAACATAGGTAGGTTAAATAAATAGACAAAAAGAGAACTCTTGCTTGGCAGATGCATGGGAGGAGAAAATTCTGCAATAACCAAAAAAGGTCTTCTTCAAATAGGCATTTGAATCTGCAAGGCGTGCTTGGTGACAATAATTTGAGCATCTCCCTTGGAAGCTGATGCTTTAATCTATGGGATGCCATAGATGAGAACTGCTCACCTGCTGAGGCTGTCACTGATCTGGCTGGCAAGCTGATTAAACATTATTAGGATAGCATCACAGAGCTGCTGCTTCCTGGTTTTTATTGGCAGCCCAAAGTATGACATGTGGGGGAAAAAAGAAGCTGTAACCTCTTGGGGTCTGTTTCCTCACTCGTAAAAGGAGTTGAACAACACGTCTTCCCTGGGGCTTTGGCAAAGACCAAAGGAGAGAGCAAATTAACCAGCAACTCCAGGGGGTCCCGCACATGTTAGGGCACCTGATTTCCATATTCTGTATTCTTTAAAGAAAATGAATCCTTTGTCCCAAATAGTTAGGTCATAGAAAGCCTTTTTTTTTTTTAAAAAAAAGAGAAATTCTGTGAGCTTGAAGAAGATATAGAAGGATAAAAGGAAACTGACGTGGAAGTCCTTTAGCCGTAAGTATCGAGATGAGAGGTACAATGTCCTAGGCTTCACAACGACTCAGTCATAATAACGAAAATACAATGACTAAGATTTATTGTGGGCTTGATGTGCTCTGGGCAGTATTCTGAGTGCTTTACAATCATTAATTCACTAATCCTCAGCACAAAGGGAAAAAACTGGCTACTTTAGTTTTGAATGAACACTTTCTTATTAATGCTGTATTTAGCAGATTTTTGTATTAATCTATGCATTCACTCATGCTCTCATTTAGGCCAAAACTCTCCCAGGCTGTGGCAAAGCCTGGTGAACTGATCCCATGCTGGGTGGGTCATACCTCTCCAGCCACATGTCATTCTCAGCAAAGGGCTCTGGGTCAGACAGTGGGTTTAAGCTGGAATCTGCACTCAGCAGCTGTTAAGGGGTTCACACACAGGCCTACCTGGACCCTTCTGGCAGCCCTGGCAATGTTCCCTATTTTGATATCTATTGAAGAGCAATAGATATTTGTGTGGCAGTTCAGGCTTCACACCGTATTAGTTTTCTTGGGCTTCTTTTATAAAGTACTGTGGTGGGGGGTTGGGTGGGGAGAGCTTAAATGACAGACATTTATTTTGTAATAGGTCTGGAGGCTGGAAGTCCAAGATCATGGTGTCGGCAGGGTTGATTTCTCCAAAGGACTCTCTCCTTGGTGGGTGGGCAAGTGTGTAGATGTGTCTCCTTCCTGTATCCTCATGTAATCTTCTCTCTCTGTGCATGTGCCCTGATCTCCTCTTCTTATAAGGACACCGGCCATTTGGATTATGGTCCACCCTAATGACCTCATTTTACCTTGAGGACCTCTTTAAAGACCCATCTCCAATACAGTCACATTCTGAGGTGTGACCTCACTGGGGGTTACTGCTTCAATGTATGGATTTGGGTTGGGGACACAGTTCAGCCCATAATATAAACCAACAGATAAACTAAGGTCTGGGGATGCTAAATGAGAATCACTAAATTATAAGGTCTAGACTTGAACATTTACATCTGAGGAAACAAAATCCCAGAGAAGTGAAGCGACTCTCCTGAGCTCACATACTTAGCAAACAGTGGCGCACAACTTGAACCCTGCCCTCCCTCCCTTCCTTCTTCCCTCCCTCCTTTCAAGAGGAGTTCATAGCATAGCCTCTCCTTGCCCTCTCATTTACTACCTGTGCATCTCTAGCCATTTTCTTAATTTTCTGAGCCTCAGTTTCCCTACATCTAAAATAGGAGGAATCGATGTATCAAGGAGTTGAGGATTAAAATGAGATAATGTAGACAGACCAGGTCTAGTATATACAGTGAAAATCAATCATCTTTCCCCTTTCTGTTTGATTTGTTTATATGGTTATTAACGAATGCTTTAGTTGATTGGGTCTTTCACCCAGCCACCCATCCCCAGATTGGTACCGAGCCCTGAATGCTGTAACTCAGCTCACATTCTATTTGCTGCACAAACCTACCAACTGCTGCTGCTGACAGATACTGCCCGAGATGCCTGCCGCGGGAGCTCAGCGCTGGGTGGGAAGGACTGTGGCATTAACATCGACAGGAGGTTCTGGGAGGCAGAATTTAGATGTGTCTTGCAGAATGAGTTTTCCTTCATGGGCAAAGCAGGACAGAGGATGCATGGAACAGTCGGGACTGGCTACCATCCCAGTGAGCTGAGTTTAAGACAAGCACGGTGGTGCCGTGGAAAGCAGCTGGCAGGAGTAGGTGACACTCTCCACCTCCAGGGTGGCCCTCTTTTCTCCGACCCTGCAGGCATAGGGTATGGGGCCTAGACTTGGCCAGCATACTCCCAGCTGTCCTCTTATTTGCTGTCTTTAGCCTGGAAGAGGGAAGCAGTTAGGTAATACCCACCTCATCTCCTCTGAGTCCTGTCCCCAGGGCAAACTGCTGATTCTTCTCCAGAAAGCGGATTTTCACATTGTAAACTTTGTTCCCATAAAACACGACCAAAACATAGGGTTCTGCTCTGGATTTAGCAGAACAGTCCCGAACCAAGAAAGTGCCGTCCTGCAGTGAAAACGAGAATGATCGATCATCTTCTCAGGCTTGCCGGCACCCCACCTACCCGTGTCGGCAGCAGTAATGCTTATGGGTGTGGGATTCCCGACTGACTTTAGTTTTTGGGAAACCAGTTCTTCATTCACTTTAATTCGGGAGCTATTTCCTGAGTGTGCGAATGTGCAAGGGTCCTTGCTATTTTCTGGGAAGTGTACCATTCATGCGCACTCCCTCCTTTCAAGCTCTCCATCATCCGCTACTGTCCTCAGTGTCATGCCTACACCCTTAGCATGACGTTCGTGGGTAAATGCACCAACCCGTCTCGTGGTCGTCTCTGGTCACTCCTGTGGTCTCCCGCCCCTGCGTCCTGGCTCCGGCAAAAAGCCATATTTCGCCAAGGCACCATCTTGCTTTGGCGCCCCCAGCTTTTGCACAGGCCACCCCCTTTGCATGGAGTGGCCCTCTTGCCCCTGCCAGGTGTGCTTGCCTTCATCTGCCTGTGTTCATATGCTTCCTGTTCTGCCTGACGCTCAGGTATTGTTCTAGTGGGAGCCGCCGCAGGCCTGGAGCAGGAGAGGCTTTTGTATGATAAATCAGGCCTCTGTGTGGAGAGACGTCAATATGGGATTAGGGTCCCCAAAAGAGACATGGGGCTTCCAAGTCACGGATACCAAAATGAGTGGGGAGACTCTCTGAGGGAGGAGAAAACACAGCCACGGGTGAGGTGAAGGCTAGCAGAGAGTGAGGGACAGGGGACAGAAGCGGCATTTAGGAGGTCAGAGGGAGAAGGACCCCCAGAAGCTTCAGTGTTCCGGAGGCCAAGGGAGGAAGTGGAGGGTCTCCAGGTCAGCGGTGTGAAACGGTCTGAGGGCCGCGAGGAGGCAATTACACCGAGCAGAAGCGGTCAGGTGCGCTCTGGGTGAGCGTCTGGGCGTAAAGGGCTAAGAACTGGGGCAATGCTGCCATGCATGGACGCACCTCCAAGGCTTAGTTTTGTGGCTATGTCGTGTCATTTATATGATGAATAGTACTGAGAAGTCTGTAACTATAGTGTATAGATTATTGTATAGCTGGTTATAAATGATGTAGAAAGAACAGATAGATCTATAAAGAATAGATCAAATTAGATGTGTGAAGTGCTATTTATTCTTTATATAGATATTATATATAATAATTTATATTTATAGCCATTACATAATTATTTATAGTCTATATTTAGTGTCTATATAGTCTATAATATTTATAGATATTACAGGTATTGGTATATATAATGGTTATAATGCTATATAATAATACTATAAATACATAAACTTTACAAATAATACTATGAAATTATAGTGATGTTATAAACATTCTGGCAGCTAAGGTTTAGTGAGAGTTGTCCTCAAGATGTCAAGCACTTCGCATATATTATTTCATTTGATCTTAATGTATAATTTGAGGAGTTATTTTATCCCCATTTTACACATAAGGGAGTTAGGGCCCCATTGCTTAAGTGACACCCCTAATGTGTCACAACTAATCAATGGAATAGCTAAATGTCAAGTTCTTGCTTTTTAAATATACCAGCCTCTGAGTATATAATGTGGGATTGAGGAATTTTCTAAAACTTGTTCTGCCTAAGAAATTAAATTCAGCCGTAATTGAAGTCTCATGACTCAAGCACAGGACGTTGCCAAAGCTCAGAAATGGAGAGGAGGCCAAGGTGCATGACCAATTTTTGGATTTATCATCTGAAACTCTGCAACATGTCTGTCATAATGACTCTGGGCAAGATCTAAATTAAATTATCTTTCATATGTGGGAAACACATTTTGACAAAACTGAGATGGCGTAGGAAACAAAATAGAAAATCTGAAGTCATTTAACTGAGATTGTTCTCTCGATGCTTTTTGGGGAACCAGAAGCAGGCGTGTGGAAGGGGAGCGACAGGAGCATTGGCTGAGCATCCACATGTTGCCAGGAGGGCATTATGTGATGTATGCATTGCTCTTCTAGCACCATCCGCACAGCGGCTCCTGGAAGCAGGTCTCCTAAGAGCAGTTGTTTTGTTGGGGAATAGGTTCAAAGAGTGCAATGGTTCACTGGGTGCTGGTTAGCCAAGAAGAGGCCAGGTTGGAGCTGGCCCCACCACTCCACTGTTCTACCCAGCACAGGTCAGCCCTAGCGGGATTCCTTGTGGCAAGGAAAGAGAGGGTCCTAGAGGCAATGCATCGCCCAAAGAACTACAGTGGCTACTAGAGGCAGCTGGGATTTTGTGAAGACAGCACTGCTCTTGGGTCCGGGGCTGCCCCTTTCTCCACATTGTGGTGGAGACCTTAGCCCCAGTTTCCTCATCTAGAAAATGAGATAGTTCCATTTATTCCTAATATGTTCAAGATACGTTGTTAGCCACTATATTAGTTTCCTTCTGCTGCCATAACAAATCACCATGAATTGAGTAACCTAAAACTCAGTTTATTGTCCTATAAATCTGGAAGTCAAGGCATCATCACGGCTGTGTTCCTTTTCTTGGGTGGGTGGGTGGGGCTTTAGGGAAGAGTCTGTTTCCTTGCCTTATCCAGTTTCTAGGGGCTGCCAATCATCTTGACTTATGCTCCCCTCCACCATGTGTGACTCTGGCATTCCTGCCTCCCTCATAAGGATTCATGTGATTATGTTGAACCCACCCAGATAATCTAGGATAATCTCCCTGTCTCAAGAATCTTGGTTTGATCTCATCTGTAAATTCCTTTTTTCCATGTAAGGTGACATGGTCTGGGGTTTAAATGTGGACATCTTGTGTGCGGGGGGTATTATTCTGTTTACCCTAGCAATTTACATATAATTTATCTTATTTAATTTTATATCAAGACTGAGAGCTAGGTTTTATTAAAATTTATTGGGGACCTATCATGTATTTGACCATCTACTAATAATTAGCTTACTTATTCATTTTTGTACTTCCTCACTCAGTAGTGACCTCTGTGCTGGTTAGTTAAGGATGGGTTTTGATGTTGCATCAGTCTTGAAAGCCTATCGCTTCTGAATGATCTAGTATGGTTCTCTGCACATAATAGAATGGTTCTTTTTAGTAGTTGCAAATAATGATTTGCTTCTTGTGATGATGGTTGCAGTAGTCATTTGATCTGATCGCAAATATTCTAGTTTTTCTCTCTTTGTGGTCAAATGGTAGGTTTGAACTTCCCATCCCTTTTGAAGTTAGGTCTAGCTGTGTGACGTTGGCCAATGAAATAGGAGCAGGCATGTAGCATGTTACTTTTGAGATGTGTTAAGAGCCAGTATGTGAGTTGTGGGTACATACATTGAGATGGGGCCTCTGGGGGCCGGGGCCTACCCACCCAAACCTGTCTTAAACATGGAGTGTAAGCAAGAAATAGAGTTTTGTTAGGCTGAGCAGCTGAGCTTGTGGGGTTGTTTGTTACTACATAACCAATCATATCCTGACTGTTACACCATTCAAGAACCCTGATGCTTTGCTGAGAAGTGGGACATAAAGACCCAACTATAATGAGAGGAAATACCTTTAGTAAGGGGAGGAAGCTTGAAGAAGGCAGAAGGAAGCCACCTTCCCTTGTGACCTCCATTTTTACCTCAGCTCCCACATTTGATCTCCAAAAGAGTTCCTGAGGGTTGATTTTACTATTTTCATTTAATGAATAAAGAAAACTACACTTGAAGATATTTAGGCACCTGAGAGAGTCACATGGCTGATAAGTGACAACCAAGTCTCAAATCTACACCTATGTGAGATCCCCCTTTCAGTAATGTCTGCTGCAGGGAGAATACAGGTGACGCAGGAGCCCCTACAACAAAACCCTGCTTGTCATGTCCCCTGACCTATGGGCAGAAAGCCACAAGATGATCGATCCGAGAAACCATGAGGTGGGTCCCATAGAAGGAAGGTGTTACCTTGTTCTCCTTCATTAATGCCTTTTCTACAGCCTGGCGACTGTATTCTCCAATGTACCATTCGTTGTGCTGGACATCCTGCAGTACAAGTTAAGTGATGAGTATTTGAGAGTCAATGGGAAATTCTAATCATCAATGAATTAAAATTCACTTTTGGCCCACCAGTGCCAATTCGTGGTTTGATTTATAGTTCATAAGCAGCATCAGAGTTCTGTCCCTGGATCTGGAGATGGGCACAGTAAAAGTAACAGGCATGAGAAGAATCTGTCTGTCATTGAGAGTAACCAGACATTTCACTCCATCTATTGAGAAAGGCCCTTTGGCATCATGTTCAGAATGGATAATAAATCCTCTGTCAATCAATGCTTTCAGAATCTGCCCCTGCCGAAGCTTATTGCCGTGGGATGTATATTGTTTGTAAAGCCTGCATGGCCCGTCATCATAAAAACAGCAGGGAAGAGAAAGACAGGTACAGATCGATAGCACCTGTGTGCCACTTAGCTGAAGTCACATGCAGTGGAACTGGCATTTGAAACCCTCGTCTATTTGGCTTTCTCTCTGTGCCATGCTACCTTATTTATACCAACTGATTTCTTTTGATTATAAAATTCACCGTCAGAGAGAGGAAGAGCAGTCAGAGAGGTGCCCCACAGTTCTGCAGTTCCTTTACAGGGTTCCAAGGATAATAATATTAAATCATTTCCTACGTGAGTCCAGTATCTCTAAGGCCCTTCCTTATTTATTACCCTGATCCATCCCTGCAATAATCCTGTGAGTTACGTGGAGGCTCAGGAAGTCAACATCTGTCACGTGGTTGCCAAGAGTGAGGGATGTGACATCAGGTCTTTGTTTTCTCAAACTGGGTCCCTGTCCTCCCAGGACAAACCGATCCTTCTGATAATGGGCACACCAAGCATGTGTGAGCGCCTTTGGGAAAGGTACGAGCCTGAACTCCACAGCCTCACCTCCTGCCACCCCCCAGTCTGAGGACATGAGTCTGGCCAACCCAATGTTTGCTATTCTCTGGACACACACAGCTTCAGGCCTTGACATGAGGGTGGAATCCCTAGCTGTAACTGCCTGGAATCCCACCTGCTCCTCACCTTCTCCTGTGCCCAGATCTGCCATTCTCTTCCATCACGTGGGGGATCAAAGCCACCCCTTATTTGAGGCCTCCTTTGGATAATTCCTTTACCTAGTCTCTGCCCCCAGGAGCAAGTTGGTGCTGGGGAGGTCCAGCAAAGCCACATAACAGGCTTCAGAGACAAAGGGCACCTCAGAGCCCCATTTCCCTGTGGAGGTGTGAGTTCTCTGAGCTCAGAGTGGTCTGCTGCTCCGGGGAGCCTCTCAGCCAGCCTGGGGGCTCAGCCCTGGTGCATTTCACCTACTCTGGTTTTATTTATTTGTTCAACCTGCAAGACACTTGGAGATTTTGAGGTGTGTTTCTTTGGGCGTGTTTACAAGTGCTGCTGGTGGGTGTAGATGGTGCTCAAACACAGCACTGAGCAATTCTGCATTCCCAGGAGGGAGAAATGGTCCCCCTTCAGTTCTCTTCTAGCCCTTTGCATTATTCAAGAGGAATGTCTCATTTTGGTGCTAGTATGTGGCCATATCTCTCTGGCATTTCTAAGTTCTCCCTCATTATCAGAAGAAAAATCCTTAGGTGGAACTATTAGGGAGTGATGGGATCTTGCTACAATTTAATGGCCTTGTTTTGTTTGAGCTACAATGACCTTAAAGGAATGTGGTGAAACATAGACAATATAACCATTGAAACCATTTTTTAAGTGTGCAGTACAGCGGCATTGAAGGCATTCGCTTTGCACCCATTCACCACTGTCCATCTCCAAAACCTTTCCATCACCCCAAACTGAAACTATGCCTTTATTTTCTCCCCAAGCCCTGGTAACCACCATCTTCTTGCTGTCCCTGTGAATTTGCCATAAACAGAATTGTATATTTGTCCTTCTGTGGTTGGCTTATTTCATTTAACATAATGTTTTTGAGGTTCAACTATATTATTCATTTCTTTTTTTAGAAAAGATTTCATTCTTTCTTAGAGCTGTATCATGTTTTACACACACACTCCACATTCTCTTTATCCATTTATCCATTGAAGGACACTTGGGTTGTTATGACTTCTTTGTTATTGCAAATAATTCTGCTTTGAACATGGGTGTGAAAATATCTGTTTGAAGACCTGTTTGAGTTCCTTTGGGTTTATATCTAGAAAGGGAATGCTGTAATTAGTTTTCAGTTTGCTTTCTATCCATGGTATGTTAATACTGGTTTTCTATTTAGGGCAGTGATACAAAGTAAAAAAAAGTCAACTTCAAGAATATTAATACAAAACATTATTAATAGTACACGAATAGGTCGCAAATCATAGAGGTGCGTTCAAAGAGTTGAAATCAGGGAAATCTGATCTTTGGCCAACGTCTTCCATGCCTGTGAAGAATCCAGGCTCTGGGAGGGTGTGATTTTGGATAGACATCTAGTTGGAACACAGGGATTCCAGTGCTTCTGAAGGAGATGACAGAGCGAAAGGAAGCTAGGTACATAAAAGGGGCAATAAACAAAGTGTGTGCAAAGGTTTCCCAAAGTCTGACTTACGGGCATGAGACCTCTTTTAGAATTAAGGTAGAAATTAAATATAAGGACCACAGAAGACCTTTAGGCTACTGCAGGGATTTTGGAGAATTGACCAGAGATACCCTCTATGCTCTGCTTCTGCTGAAATCCCTTTGCAGGCCCTGGGGCAGGACCCTGAACGCATAGGATGTGAGATGGAGACCCAGAAGCATGTTCTTCTGTGCTTTATAGTCAAAGGCGATGGAGGAAAATGCATAGATGCTATAAAGAAAGTTTTATCCCTCCAGAGAGGTAAATGTAAGTGCAATATGGTCCTGGAGGAACTGATTATAGGGATGGAGAGTATTCTAGAAAGAAACCAGGAAATAGATGAAGGGCAAACAAGAAAACACCTAATACCATTTGCATCTCTCCCTTCTCTACTCTGGGCAGGTACTATAACCTGTGGCATGTTGTATAAGAAATGCTCAATAGATGGTTTTGGAACTGCTCAAATGAAATGAATATGTGATGTGTGGGACTGTTGTTGGAAAAATAATTGCAATATGTAAATCCTTATTAATCCTTAAAGATCATCGAACAGCCAGTAAATATGAAACACAATTCTAAATATCTCTATATTTTGGATTAATTAAAGAAAATGCTTTGAAAATATAGAAATACGCAAGTCAAAGATTCTGGTGAAAGAACAATATAAAATGTTTTTACACCAACATACTTAATGAATATTAAAACCCAATAATATGTGGCCAGAAGGAGAAAACATTAAAGCCAATCATGATAATGTCTTTTCAGGCATTGTTCAATAAAGGCCTCTGTAGATGCTAAATTCATCTAGGAACATGTTGCAGAGACAGGTCTATTTTACCTTCTCATCAGACCTTGTGGGAAAAGGTTTTCTCCAGCTTGTGTTTTTACAGTGTAGCGAATTTTCCAGAGGCCTGTAGCTGGCTGGAGACTGACTTCTCTGTGGAGGGTGGCACTGCAAGCTTTCTTTATGATCTGCAGAAAGGAAATTCACATCTGAGTAAGATTTCATGACTGTCTCCGATTGCCTCCCTCCGATGTGGAGCTGGAAGCCTCTGCTCCTTCCTGCGCCTGCGGTGACCTTCCTAGTCCGGCCAAGGGCATCTCACTCTGGACAGCTGCCTCCTCTGCATTGTTCTCTTGCTTGTTTTTTCCCCTTTCTTTGTAGGGCAGCCGGAGTAATCTTGAAAAAATGTAATTCTGACTTTGCTGCCCCCCCTGATACAAATTCTTCCATGATTTCCTTTATACTGGATGAAAAGCCAAATGTTTTACTTCTGTTAGTAACACTTTGAATAATCTTTCTGCATCTGTATCATCCATCCTCCACGGTCACTCTAGTCTGGCCATAAGAAACAAACAAGTCAAGCTCATTCCCAACTTAGAGGACACTTTTTCTTTTAACTTGAAAGAATTACTTTTTATCTTAATGGAACACCACTTCTTTTAACCTGAAACAATGATGGACAAACTATGGTTATTCAGACTTGGGCATCTGGCAGATATTTTATAAAAAATGAACTGAGTGAGCCTGTCTTTTCATGGAAAACAACTGGTGGTATTTTTTGCCAATTATAAAATTAGACTTTTCAAGTACAAATTGGAATTTGGAAAAACTTGTATCTGCCACCATGACATATCAGCATACCTAACAGTTAGGCTTTTCTGTTAAGATTGGTGGTGTTACTTACAAATATGATTTTAAAAACATATTACATAATATGGTGGAAAGATCTGCTCAGGTCTGTGAATCATTATTTTCCAAATGACCAATGCATTATGCTACAAAATCATGCCTGACTAAAAGATTCTTTAAAAGAGTAAGATAGACCAATGGACTTTAAAATAACAGAATACAAAAAGTTCATTGAGAAGTTTTGGTTTCATGTGATGCCTACACTTTAAGATAGCACTTGTTAAGTTCTGATGTTTTTTTTCTCCATATACTTCAATGAAAATAACATATTTACACTGCATATCTTTCCAGTAAACATTAATAAAAGATGAAATTGAGGCCACAAGGAAGAAGTGAGGTGTGAGAAGGAATGTTTAGCAAGGATATTTGTAAATATGTTGGTAATCTTAAGCAAGGATTAACTGTTTAAAACTCATAAAGCCTCAAGCATATAAAAACAATATGAAAGTAGAATACTGAACAATAACATAAAACGGAAGGGAGGTAATTGCTATGAAGGCAGAATTAAAAGCCATATAGTCTTAATTCAGTCTAGGAAATATAACTAAAGCTATAGTCCTGGTAAATAGCTGAAAAAGAACTTGGAAAGAATGTGATACCTTTGATACAGGACATTTTTGAGACAAAATACTATATAAAACAGCAAATATTTGCATGGCAGTAACTGCAACATTTAGATTATATGTGTATTCTGTTTCTTGTCATCAAATGCTGGCTCTCTAAGTTTCTAAGTTTACTAAGAACAATGATCCTGAAACACTGAAAGTTTTATCTTAATGGTTCCATGGATTTCGGCTTTTATTGTTGAGTCTAAGAATATGGGGAATTAGATGTACCAAATGTTTGTGGTAGAAAACTGTTTGCTAACTTACAGTTTAAATTACATTCATCATAGTAAGTTAATTTCACCTACCAATTGCTGACCTTAAAAATAGGAATAATGCTAAAGACATCTCTGCTTTTCAAATTTTATTTTATAAGTAAAGGAGCTTAACTTTCAAACACAGTGCAGAATCCATACTATCGGAATTAGAGCACTCTAAATGTTTTATATTGTTTGGGAAGAGGAGATGAACTTCAGATTTTTAAAATTCAAGTATGTTTTAATTTAAAATGTTAAAAATAACCAATGGAAGAGTAGAATTGGAATGCTTAACTTCCAAGATGAGTAAAAAGGAGAATAAAGGGATGCACCCAATATCTGGAAATAAGTCAGTGAAAAGTAGGTCAAATAAGAGGCACAATATCATATAAAAAAGAATGCCAAAATATTATTACATTAAATGTTAGAGGTGCAAACTAAGCAATTAAAGTTAGATGCAGATTGACTTAAAAGTCCCAGTTATGTGCTAATTCCACATCTAAATATGACACAGAGATGTCACTAAGTGTGGATGGAGAACTGTATACAAGGTAAATCCTAACCAAGAGAAAGCTAAAAAAGCCATCATAATATATAAACACAGACTTGAAAAACTTTATTTTAAATTATAGTGAAGCAACACATAGAGCCTTAGTACTGAAATGACCATAACCATCTTTTCAACATGGAGACAATAAGATGGAGACAATAAGAAACAGAGAAAAGAAAATAACCCAGCACTTCCTATTACTTTGTGTAGTATAGTTCAGTGATCATGAATTTTTCATTATATCGTGGCAACTAATTTACTGTATTTCAACTCTTAGTGCCTTGCTTAATTATTTAGAAAAAGCCCTGCTTGAAAAAGAGCATTTGGAAACGACTATATGCATTTGCAGTCTATTCAGAGAATGAGTTGTATACAACAAAACAAATGAAAAAACCCAACTTTGCAGGCAATTTTTCCCTTGAAGTCCTGCTTGGATCTTTGTTTAATGAATAAATGAAATTTTGATCGTGTAGTCTACTGCAAGTATTTAATTGATTTTGTTCTAAAAAATGGCAGCTAATCTTTAGAACGTTTTCTTTACATAAAACATTGCATTTGAGTTTTAGAACCCCATGAAATAGCATTCTCCTACTTAGAGAATGGAGGGTCGCCTTAATGATTGTCACAGAGTCAGTGAAAGAACATTAAGGACACAGTGTAGGTGGCCAATAAAATTTGAGGCAGAGTAGCCTAATAAGAAAAGGCATAGGTTGTAAAACATACAGATATCAATAATTACTAATATTTCAAAATTCTTATCTATATACAGCTCTTAGCACAGTGCCTGACCCCTGTTAATCACTCAATAAAAGTTACTGCTAATTGTTGTTCATATTATTAGAGAATAACAACTCTAGAGCTTTCTTTTGCAACTTATAATAAAAGCGTTTTATTTTAAGCAGATGTTTTAGCAAATGTTAATTTACGCTTACATAAGATTTTAAAAAATCGTGTAAGAAGAGAGCCATATACTTTAAAGAATATTTATAGGTTAAAAGTAGGGAAAGAAAGCATTAGTAAACAAAATGAAAAACAAGCAAAAAATAAAATAAATCATCCATAATCCCAAATTTAAGAGTAATGTTAAAATTTTGGAGTATAGCTGCACTGTTCTGGAGCCTCTTTGAATGTATCAGGATATATTTTTTGTCCTGAGATCCATTTGCCTAGGCTCTGTGGTGTTGTGATTAAATGCATATTTGATCTTTGTCCTCTTGCTAGCACAGAGCTCCTAAAACCCTTGGTATTTTCTAAATGTTAAGAGCGCCAAAGGTACCTTATTATTCCAAACAAAACACCTTTCAACGGCACCAGAGTTCACATTAATGAGGAGACTTTTGGGGAGCCCATAAGGATGTGGGCTGGTTGTCAATGGAACCAATCAGATGGTGCGAGATTTGGAACTTTCAGTCCCACCCCACTGACCTCAGAAGGGGAGAGAGGCTGGACTATTGAATCAGTGCCAATGGCCAATGATTTCATCAATCATGTCTATGTAATGAAGCCTCCATGAAAACCCAAAAGAATGGGGTTCAGAGAGCTTCAGGTGGTGAATAAGAGCACTGCCATGTTCCATCATGCCGGGCCCCAAATTCTACAAGGACAGAAGCTCCTTTGGGACCTTGTCCTACCATTTCCTCCACTTGGCTGTTCTAAGTTATATCCTTTTATAATAAATGGTAATGCAGCTAATAAAATGTTTCTGAGTTCTGTGAGCCACTCTAGCAAATCAGCGAAACCCAAAGAAACGGTCTGGGATCTTTGCCTTGTACACAGATAAGAATTTTTAAATATTAGTAGGTCAGAAGCTCAGATGACAACCTGGACTTGGAATTCATATTTGACTGGCAGGGGTTGCGGGGACAGTCTTTGGTGCCGCCCCTTCACCTGCAGGATCTGATACCATCTCCAGGTAGAGAGGGTTAGAACTGAGTTGAATTGTAGTTATCCAGCTGGTGTCAAGAATTGGTTGGTGGTGTGGAAACCTCCCCTCCACTCCCAAACACAGTGTGGAATTGTTGGGTACAGAATTGTCAGGCCCCTAATGGCTTAGCTTGAATTCATTTATCCGAAAATCGATCAAGTCTGTTGATCATGTAGAGATTGAACTATCACGAATAACTGAACATTTCCAAAGTTTCCTATTTGTAAAATACGGATGATGGTATCTACATCCACAGAGCAGTATGGATATGATGGAGGCAAGGGAGGAAGCTCTTAGGTCTAGTGGTGTCGGCTGGGCTGGGAATCCCTGGAGAAGGAAAGGGAATGCAGAAAAGACGGAAGGATATGCAAATGTGTGGGTGTGAACCCTGTGAGCTAATAGTATTTGGATTTTATGGATGGGGGAGGGGAGGCTCCAAGAATTAATTTGCTCAAGGTGACTATTAGAGGGAGAGAGGTGTAATTGGGACCCAGGTCAGTAGAACTGTCTGTCATTCCACCCTATCCCAGGGGGTCTGCTTCCTCTAGCTCTAAGCCCTCTCATATGGCTCACCATAAAGAGACTGCAGATTTAGATGTGAACACACAGTCTCCATGGCATATGGAGTGAAGAAAAAACATTGCACAAGAAGGTGACAGGTTTAATTGGACAAAATAATACTAATAATACCAAAACTCATCACTAATAGTAATATAACGCTGTATTTATGTGCTGTTGTAGACATCTCTGCACACATGGTATCCGTCGGATTTTTATGTTTATAATTAGTAAGATATCAGTTTTATTTTCTTTATTTCACAGATTTTTCTAAGATAAATATATTTTACACCCAATGGATTGGCAAAAACTTAAAGTTTGTCAAAAATAACTGTTAGAGAGGATGGGGTGCAAGGGGAACTCATAGCTCTTGGTGACACTAATTGATACATCTGCTTTGGAAAATGCATCTGGTATAATTTAAGGGTGGTGACACATGCCATAACCTAGCAATTTCACACTTAGAGGAATTATCCTATTTATGTCCGTGGGAAGACATCTACAATATTGTTCATAACATAGTAATGTTCATAAGGGGAAAAAACTGGAAACCACCTGCGTGATCATACTTAGTTTTGGATAAAAATTGTAATGTTAACACAATGGAAGGCTGTTAGTGAAAATGAGCTAAATACATCTTACACATCAGCTCAGCAATTCTGAATTTCACAAAAGCAAAGTCACAGTGCAGGACTATCATAATGTGATGCTTACTTGTTTATTTTGTAATTCTTATGGCAAGTGTTTCTTTTTTTAAATTTTATTTATATTTATATATTTTTTATTAAGGTATCATTAATATACAGTCATGCTCAGGTTTCACATGAGCAACGTTGTGGTTATTACATTCCCCCTATTTCCAAGTCCCCACCACATACCCCATTACAGTCTCTGTCCATCAGTGTAGTAAGATGCTATAGAGTCACTACCTGGCTTCTCTGTGGCAAGTGTTTCTTACCTCTGTTTTGCACACTGTGGTTCCTCATCATGAGCGAAGAGCTAAAGGAAATGTTAGAATTGAAAGAATGTTACTGTTTCCCGTGGTGGGTAAAGTTCCCCTCAAAGGCAAGATTAATAATAATGGCTCAAGTCACACTTACAAAGCACTTTCTATTTTACTGGATAAGCTTGAAGAATTTCTGTTTTGTAAGGCAATAAGAAGCTGGTTCTTTCCCTTCCTTCTCAAGACAGGCAAACATTAGATATGGAACAAATTGACCCATCTAAGTTCTTCCCATATCATTTCAATGAGTGCATATCAATCTGTACCTTTGGAAGCTATGAATTTAGACTTGCCTTGTAATTTCAGTGTCTCTGGAAAATGATATGTGGTTGGTTGGGCTCATAGTCTACAGAAATCATTTCTGATTGAATGAGACTTAGCCTTAATAACGAAGAAGAGTATAGAAATTATTTTATTCTCTCTTGAAATGTGAACGAGGTGAGCCAACTGGATCATGTAAGGAAATTCATAAGGAAAAAAGATGACAAAAATACAATGAAAGTTAATAAAAAACAATATGCAAGTGAAGGCAGAGGAGCGGAGTGCTAGGGAATGGAGCTCATGCCCTGACGCCCAGGGCCCGGCAGTAGCGCTGAGCTAAGATTGGGTGGACAGCTGTGACAGGGCCAGCTCTGCTCTCAGCTTTCATTCAAGATGAGTGACGTTTCCTGGGGTCACATGGTTTGCTAAGGGAGGAAGCCAGGCAGTCCGATTCCAGGGGAGTCCTCCTAACCACTACTCCATTCCAGCTCACTCAGGTACACTCCCTGTGAATACTTATCCAATAAATAGAAGACAGCATCTTAACTGTGGGTGGGCACCAGAGAAAGTCCGGATTTGTGGGCTGCTTTTTTAGAATCAAAGCATTGAAGGCAGCGTGGGTGACTGAAAAGGTCTTAAGTTTTGGGGTTGGAGTTGACTTCAGTGGTAAGAAACTCAGCCTCTCTGGGCCTCATTTATGCCCTCTGGGGAATGGGTCAGAATTCAGTGTGGCTTTAAGCCTGGGGAGGAGAGGAGTTACCCACACAGGGAGAGGATAGAGACAGATAAATAGGGGCTGAGTGTGTAGTCAGAGGAATGGCGCCTGGGAATGTCCTGTGCTACGTGACAACAGAGGGGGGCCTGAGCCGAGGCTGGAGGCGCTGTCCGGATTGGGATCATGGGGCCTTATAAGCACTGATGTTGGAGGCCCTGAGTTTGTCTTAAGGAAGCCACCACGAACGTACAGCTCCTGTGGTCAGTGCCTCACCGGCCTGAGCCTTCGCTTCCTCAGATCCTCAGTGGGGACACTGGTTGTCACAATTATTTGATCAGGCAAGTATTTAATCAGATAATGGTATTTTCGGCCCCTGGCCATCAATTAAAGTGCTGTTCAAAAGTGCGGTCATCAACTGAGATAATTAGAAATGGCCACCTGGGACCCGACAAGGGATCCTGACTCCTTACCTGGCAGTGGCAAGGGGAATCTCTTGACTTCCTTGATTTTGTGACAGGCGAGGTGATTCTGGTTTCATCTGGTAATGAGGAACTGCATACAGACATCAAATAATTTGGTCAAGTTGCAAAAAGAAAATGATATGGGACCATTAGAGACCTACTGGAAGGTCTGTAACTTCATGTGAGTATCCTCTGGTTATTAGGAGACGTTATTATCTGCTCTTTGTGGTCAGCTGATATAACCCACACATTGTGCAACTCCCTGGCCCCTGGGAGTGGCTTCTCCCTGAGGCTCTAAAAGTTGCTTTGAATATTGAATTGTCAATAATATTATCAAGAAAAGTGAATTTAGAACTCATCATTGAACTTCTCAAAATACAGAACATCACATGGAAAGGTATTTGGTACTGGAAGGGCTTGAAGTGGATGTGGACTAAAGCGGAGTTCTGCATTCAAGTGAAAAATGTCATAGAAACATTTATTAAAAAGTTAAACCTAAGAACTATTCTGAGCAATGTAGGATATGGGGATGCCCAGTGCTCATCTGTGAATTTCCCTTTCTCATTTCTCTCCAGTGGTGGAGCAGGAGAGCTGCCAGGATTCTGACATAGATCGACAGTTCCCACCTGGTTCCCACCAGGCATGCATTTTCTGTTTTTTCCCTTTGAGCTTCAGATTTTGAAAAGTTCTGCCAACCATATGAACTGGAGTTATTTAGTAATTACATATGCCACTGGTGTTACCACTTTTTATTTCCTTTTCATCAGGAATAGATTTTAACCAGCCATCCAGAATCAAGAAGGGCACATAATAATACTATGATATGAAAGCCCATAAAACACTCTCTCCATTGCTATCCTAAGTAATAAAGTTAAGGAAGCATATAGACACTGACGTGTCTTAATTTTTGTTGTTATTCTGAGCTCTCTCCAAACTGGACACCATTGAAGGACTGTGATTGCTTCAAATGTGCTTGGAACCAGTGACTGGCCCACTAATCACACATGTGATAAAATCATTTCATACCGTCAACAGCCACCCAGAGCACCTGCCCCTCATGAGCTGAAAAATGTCACATTGTTGTGATGATAATCTTTGCAGCTCAATGCAATTACATCTGAATATTTCAATTAAGATGCTGAGCTTTAATGGGGAGAAGGGCACAATTTCCTTTAGGTTTTAAAATTATTTAGAATTGCCAACAGATCCTCACTCTTCCTTCAGGGACCCTTGGGAATCTACAAACCCAGGTAAGGTCCCAGTCAAGTGTAACAAGCCTCATTATAAAGGAGAGCAGGCTTGCCTCCTACAGAGACAATGCCACGTGACCCAAACCACATGGACCTTTGAAATCCTAATCTGATGTTGTATTGTCGTACTGTGCTGCCTGTGTTAATCATGACATTTGCTCAGGCCTTTTGGCGCCAGATATGATTCATCATTCAGTGAAAGGTAAATGGTATTTTGAAAGTGGGCATGGAGTGCCTACCTGCTTAGCATCTTGCCAGCCAGGGAGTGAGTGCTGGATTGCATACTTCCACAACCACACCAACAGTATGCATATGTGTGTGTGTGTGTGAGTGTGCATGCATGCTCAAGTGAAGGTAGGTATATGTATGCCTGGGTGACATCAAAGGTGGAGAGACCAAGAGCTTCTCTGGAGTAGGGGGCCAGCACCATCTTTTCAGAGGAGGGGTGACAGTGTGCCTCCTTCTTGTCAGTAACCTGTGGCTGGAGAAAGACCTTAGCCCACCCTCAGTTTAAAACACCCTATTTAGACTAAGGACTTCTGAATAGACTGTGGAGTCCCGGATCCATCTGGAACATGTCGTCATGCACACATGCACGAGCCCATATCTCCCAGACTCTGAAACAATCCTTTAAAAAAAAAGGACTATGCTATAATCTGGTAACAGAACTTAACCTTATGGTATTAGGGTATGAAAACAAATATAAACAGTTCACCTTTCTCTGTTCCAAGGACCTGTATTGAATTAAAAGAAAAAGAATGTTGAGTGACTCTTGGTGATAGAGAATTTTACATTATACTATGTGTGTTTTTGGAGCAATTGGTTAGTAGAACTTGAACAACATTTTTGCTAGGATAACATTTTTTTCAATCTGTAAATAATTCTCCAAAAGACCAAGCAAAAATCAAAATTTTATACACTTTGTGTGAAGTAACAGGCAAGTATACAGTCTGCTGATGGGACTATACATTGTTTTGACTCTTTTGTAAAGAAATTTAGCCAGATCTATCAAAAGCCTTAGAAATACTGTTATTCTTATCATAAAAATTCCACTGATGAGACTCACTTTCCAAAAAAAAAGGAAAAGAACCTGAGATCTGGACCAAGTTCCATGTACAAAGATATCCAGCCAGTACTTCCTATTTTTAGTATCAAAACACAGGAAACAATCTACATGCCTATCTAAGTGAGAACTGTTAATTTTGGTGCTATACTCACTTGTTGGAATATTAAAAACACATTGCAAGCATTCATAGAGTATGGAATAAGATTATACTATGTCTCAATGTTATATAAAATGTTCAAGATAAAAATTAGGCTCATGACATATGACATACTTACATGCAAGTTATGTGTGTGTAGAAAAAATATTTGAAGAGATGGGATCAAATAGTAATGGAAGTGTGAGTGACGAGGCTATGGTTAATTTTCTAATATCTGAAATTTTTATTTTAAAAACTGAGCTTGAAAATATTCACATTATCACTTTTTAATGTAGTCATTCATTGTTCCAAACATTTCCTTCTTTTTCTTTCCTTAATAGCGTAGAATTCCTGGTCATCCTTCATCACAAAAATCTATATTTCCTGGACTTGCATTCTTGGGCCCTACTCTACTCTTGAAGAAGCCAAACACCTTACAGGAGGTACAGTATTTTCTGATGTGTTTCCTTAACTGCAAATAATTTTCTAAAGTGCATTTCATGCATTGCATTACCATTCAGACAAGAGCTTCTTAACCTGGGGATTGGAGGAGGTCCTTGGGTGGCCTGGTACAGTCCATGAACCTTCTGAAATTAAAAGGTAAATCTTTTTTTCCTCTGTAAATATGTGCATTTTTTTTTCTGGGGTGAGTAAGGTTTATTATACTTTTCATCAAAATTGTAAAGGGGTCTGAGGTCCATGACAAGTTAAAGTCAGTGGTTTGCAGCTGAGGCCCCTAGAAGTAGTGCCATTTACCCAGATTCCCAGTTATCTTATGGCTGAACTGACCCTGAAGCCCTATCTCCCGACTCACGCTGGTTTCATTGACAAGAAACTTTTAGCAACAAATAGCTTAGAGAAGCATCGGACGTCTTGTTTAAAGCCTGTCGACAGACAAATCCTTTTGTTTCAAAGAACTTAGTGTCCTCTAGGGTTCTGGAAAGAGGACATACATCTCATCATGGACAGCAAGTCAAGGCAAATCTATAGGCTAAGTAAAAAAGGGTAACGAATCCACTCTAATGAGTGGTTTGAAAGTTTCCCCACTGAGCCTTGCCCAGGACTTTGAACCTGGCAGTTCAAAGTGCTCAGTCAGACGAAGCCGTGGTTCTCAGGCCTGTCAAAGGAGGTGAGGGGAGCAGAGCTGTAAATATGGCTAAGAAGCCGTCTATCTGGGAGAGCAGGTGTTTTTTTTAATTGAGACCCAGCCAACTTTTTGCTCGAGGGCTCTGAATTTAAAATCAAATGCTAGAAAAGTGGAGTGAAATCTCTCTAAGTTTTTTATGTTAGAAAAATAAATATATTCAAGTTAAGTAGTATTGCCTCTTTTATTATTTTCCTCCCTCGACCCCACTTCCTTCCTTTTTCCCTCCCACTATTGTAGGGCAGAGACGTCCATATTTCTGAAGGCGGAGAGCCATAGGTGTGGGGCGGGACCTGGACTTTGGGCTTTCGGGACGGGCCCTATCTTCGGCCAGCCAGCTGTGGGAAGTCTGGCAAGTCTTGCCCCGTCTCTGAGGCTTCTTTTTCTCTTAGGGGTTGGTGAGAATTAAATGAGATGACGAGGCTCTGCTTTCATTGAAAACTGTAAAGTGCTGTGTGAATTTAAGTTGGGGTGAGGAGCACATCATTTTCTAACGTGTACTTTGAGCAAAAACTTTCCGCCCACACAAGCATGACATGTGCTCTATGAGATGGGCTTTTGTGGTAGAGAAATGGCCTCGACTCGCAGCCCAGACAAACAACGGGGAAGTGTCTTGGCAAAAGATAAGGAGGAAGAAAGACTGTTTCTGTACTAGGTCTTGCTGTTTAGATGAGATCGACTTCCGGCAGAGGGCCAACCAGAGCTGCAGAGGAAACAGAGTCCTGCAGGGCCCCTGCTAAGACTGGCCTCCCTGTTTCCTTCTTGCCCATGAGTGGAAAGGGCCTACGTCCTTTCACACTGGCCAAAGAGGACGATAGGTCATCTTGAGTGGCAGCCATCTGTTATTTGGGACACATACACGTGACCTGTTGGAGGAAAGGGATGGAGTCCCTTGGGTGTGGGGGTCCCCCAGCAGCAGAGGGCCGCCCCCACCTCTCCTTCCTGCTGGCACTTGGGAAGTGTGGCTCCCAGGAGAGGGCCGGCCTCTCACTCAGCAGGTATGAGCTGGCCTCCTCTGCATGATTATCTTACGCTTTAGAGGTAGTAGATGCCTTGTTTAAATGGCAAGTTAGAAATGTGGCTTTAGATATCAGCCTTCTCACAGAGCCAACAGGAGAAGCAATCAATCAACCTCTAGTCTAGATGTAAGATCGTCAGTCAAATACTCAGATTCAGACGAAGTTCCTTAGGAAGCCAGTGGGAATGAGGGGAGGCCACTCCTGCTGGACAGAGACTTCTCATCACTTTTCATCGTCTCTTTCTCTCTGGGGGCTTAAGGAGCTGAACGCCTGAAAGGATTCTAAGCTAGCTCTGTCTGATTTGACCTACTGGGCCTCCTTTGCTCACGTGGCTGTTTACGTAACTATTTGGATGTAGTTGATCACAACTTTGCCAAGAACTATACCATTTCTACTGTATGGCCAGGAAAAGAGAAACGAGGCAGGGGTGGGGACTTGCCAAAGTTTGCAAAAATAGAGGGGGTCAAGCCGGATCCATACCCAGCTCTGTGGGACTCTGTATCTCTTATGTTTTTCTACTTTGTAGTCCTGCATTTCTTGTGAAGGACAAATAGCAAAGTATAATACGACTTCCAGCATCTTATTTCTGGAAGCCATTGGTGGAGATACCATGTCTTCCATGGAAACTGGGCATGCTCTTCTCTTCATTGTGCCAGCAAGCATGGGTATGGGGGCAAAATAGGACCTTGGTTTAAAAATCTCAGTTTTAACTTATTTTGCTTTAGTTTCCTCACCTTTAAAATAGGGACAATAACATATTTTGTGCCTAGCCATCATGCTGATTAAGTATGATAAACTATCTGAAGCAAGTAGTATCTTGCCCACTGAATAAAGGCACAAAAAATCCTTTCTTTGTTTCCCAGAAAAAGATTGCTGCTTACCTCATTTAAGTCCTTTAAGCTTATCTGTCTGCAAGGAAAGGAAATATGGTGTTACATACAGTACGGTTCATAATGATCAAAATAAAATCATTCCGAGCCCTTAAAAACCTTCGGTTACATTTTCATTGCCAAATTAACAACCCATAATTCAGTGTGATGTTTATCACTGTTCTATAAAATAAAGCCAGGTTATTTTTCTCATAATTTCCTAAGGAAAAGATGAAGTTATGAGCCAGTCTGAAAGGTGGTGGCAGCAAGGACGTGAATACACTTGCTTCTCATTTTAGGAGCATTTAAGTGACATGATCGTTTCTCCTGACATTTGGTTTTCTGCGTCGACATTTGGTTTTCTGTGTCACATTTTATGAGCCCGGTCAACCTGCTTTTATTACCTTGATGTTAAAGCTCTTAGTTTTTTTGCTTTGAGGAAGCGTGAAGGGTTTTAAATATGAAGTTGTCAGGAATAGTGGGACCCGCATCAGGCACGCATGAGAGAAAGGATGCTGGTAACAGAAGGAGACCTGAGATGGAAAAGCACAAAACTCAGTGAGAAAACAGAGTTCAATGGAGTGGATAATGTGGCCGTCACACAGGTCTTGGGGAGACACAGCTGTTTGTGTGTATTGACAATTAAGTTAATTAACCTCTCCACACCTCATTTTTCTAATCTGCAAAATGGCCACAAGGTATTTGTCTTAGAGGGTTTTTCTGAGAACGGCCAGCGATAAAGATGAAAAGGCTGAGTGCCTGGGGTGCTCTTAGACTGTGGTCAGAGTCAGATGAGAACGCCTGGAAGGGAAGGACGCGGGGTGACAGGCACATTCTGTTACCTGGGCTTGTTGGTAAAAGGACTGGGATGGAGGAGGTGCTACGGCTGTGACACCCATCTCAGCTGAAAGCTGTTAACCTCGAATTATAAAGGTCCGCCTGTCTCCGGGAGGATGAGCTCAGGAGTGCACCGCGCTGTGACCTGGTCTCAGGTCTCCAGGCAACAGGCTAGTGTCTGGATGTCCCACGTCTTGTAACCTGTTTTATCGCCCATTGGAGCCAGAACACCTGCTTCCCTGCATCCTCCTGCCCCCCTGGCTTCCTGAGAGACTTGCTTCTTGTCCTAGTATCAGACCAGCGCTGTTACACTCAAACTGCAGAGGTTGGTTTCTTTTCTTTCCTTTTTTAAATTTATTTTTTGGCTTTATGAGAATATGAACATGGTCTTCATTTGCCTTTGTAATGGGGCAAATGAGAAGATAAAGACACGACTGGAAGGAATAAAGTAGAACAGACACCTATAGTATGGATTATTTTGGGGGTAAACTGAGGCTCACCTCAAGTGCTTGTAATGTTTAAGAGATTCTGGTGTTTTAGCAGTACTGACAGATTGGCCATGTGGCTTCAATTTAAAACATGCAATTGATTTTAGACTTGTGATGTTAGGTTACAAGAGTCAAGCTGTGTTTGACTCCATTTATCTAGAGTTTGGACTGTTTTAAGAGAAATTGAAATTTTCTGTATTTATTCTTTGTTAGATTTTAAAAAACTGTGAATGTCTTGCTTGTTAGCATTTAAATCTGCCGTGTCAGCATTAGAAGTACTGAAAAATCAAGTAAGTTAAATGTACAAAGGTGTTTCAAATGTTTAAGGAGATTTAACTCAGTAAAAAAGTTTTCTTGTCTAAGATCCTTAAACTTATATAGCATGGCAAGCAGAGGCTGCCTTTCTGTTTCGATAAAATCACTCCATTTACAAATACTTTTGATGAAAATTGGAGGCTTTGGGNCCAAGCCTTGAAAACCATACTCTATAAAGTTGCTGGAAGGATTCAGTGGGATGAACTGTAATTACCCTGAGGTGTTGGCGATGGAGAGATCCAGCACAGTTCTTGCCACGTCTAAAAATGATTAAACAAACATAAACTCTACAGAAACCTCAGAGACACACAGTGCAAACTTTGGAAGATTCCACCACACCAGTATGGCTGCACAAAAGATAGTGTGGTTCACATGGCAGAGGAACTCACTTGGAGATCAAGAGGGCATTACTTCAGACTTTAGAAACTTGGGCATAGACAGGCAAGGCTTCAGGACTTCAGAGCTTTAGTGGCAGATTTATTCCTAGAAGCACTGGGTTCCCTCTGGGCTCTTAGCCCTGCACATAAGATTCATCTGTTGGAATTTAAAAAAATAGTGATGTCTAGGGCCCACCTCTCAGAGCAATTAGATACTGCGGACTAGTACTCTTTGAAAAGCTTTCTTAATTATTTTAATGTAAAGCCAGGAAGAGAAACATTGCACAAGAATATACAGCCTCAATTTCAAGAAAGAATTGGGGTAATGGGTGTCTGATTCCCATCTGGTGCAGATGGGAGATGCTCCTTAAATGTTTTTCTGCCTTCTTTCCTATGCTGTGACAGATATTATCTTAGGCACTTCAGAAAAATCGTGTATCTCCTCACCATAGTCTTGTCACATGGGGATGGTTATTTTCTTTTTATGAATAAGGAGGGCAGGAGTGAGAGCTACATAAGAGCTTTCTGAAATCACATGGCTAGAAGTGGCTCAACTGGGACCCAAAGCCTGGTCGGCTGGATCCCAACATCCTGTTTTTCCCAGCATGAAGAAAGAAAAGAAGATAAAATCCTCTTTCCTCCACACCAAACAACCTCAACAACCTCATCACCTTTGATATTTTATTTATTGCATTTTCTCTCTTCTCTGTGGATCAGTTCTTAATATGTTAGATTATTTGATGAGGAGTTTTAGGGATGATACATTTTACATTTCTAATTCTGATGGCACCACTTCGTGAATCTGACGGTCGATAGTTGTTTCTCAGCCTCACACTCTTTATAATAGAAATCAAAACAACAAAATTGGTGACTCCTAGTCTGGCCAGGACCCTTTGGAAACTGCAGAAGGAAACACATATTTACCCAAGACCTACTATGTGCCAGGCATTGTGCTAGGAGACATGCATGCTGAAATGAGTTAGTCCCTCCTATTGGGGTGGAGGAGACAGAATTGTATACAAATACAGTTGACCTTGAACAACAGGGTGTTCTGGGCACCAACCCCCTTGCAGTGGAAAATCCATGTATTACTTCTGACTCCCCCAAAACTTAACTACTAATATCCTACTATTGACTGGAAACCTTACCAATAATATAAACAGTCAGCGCATATTTTGTATGTTATATATATTATATACTGTATTCTTACAATAAAGTAAGCTGGAGGAACAAAAACATTTTTTCAAATGGTCTCAAATCTCCAGAAAAATTTCCAATCTGCTTATTGGAAAAAAATCCACATATAAGTGGACTCATGCAGGTAAAACCTGTTGTTCAGGGGTCAACTATGTATTGGGTGGCAAAGGTGCCAGTGGCAAATTGCTCAAGTTAACACATGCAATTAATGTTGGTTGTAAACATGTGCCAGGCATGCACTGTTAAGTGCTTGATGGGAATCATCTTTTTAATTCTCACTTTAGCCTGTGACTTGGGTAGTTGGTATTATTTTTATCTTCAGTGAGAGAGAAAAATCTGCGGCTGGAAGGTTAGTAATTTGCCCTAAAGCAGAACCTCTCAGCCTCTGCACCATTGACCTTTGAGGTCTCATCGTTCTCTGCTGTTCTGTGCGTCGCAGGACTCTGAGCAGCACCCTTGGCGTCTGTCCTCTAGATGCCGGTAGCATCCCTTCACCCAAGTTGTCTCAACGAATTTGTCTCCAGACACTGCTTTCTCTCCTGGGTAGAAAGCATCTCCAGCTGAGTGAGAACCACAGCCCCAAATCTGCCAGTTTTCTTAAGAAAGAGAACCGAAGTTCCAACCTGGGCAGTTTGATTTGAGACTTGAGAGCTAAAGTGGGCAGGGTCCCATGCTGCTCTGCTAGTTTAGAAGGGGACAGAGAAGGGAAGGCCTCGCATGGGAGGGGGAGGAGGGTTGCTGTATGGTGGACGTATGTTTGCATGGGGCTGTAAAGGATGAGAAAATGAAGAGACATTCATCTAAAAATTAAGAGGGGAAAATGACATTTTAGGCTCGTTAACACCTCCATCAGAACCAGTGATGAATGGGTTTTCCACAGAAGCTGAAACTGTGCCTGATGCTTTGAATTTCTGTATCCCGGAGAAATGCTTTTACTAAGGAATGCCTTGTGCCCCAACCTGCTGATTCAAACTTGCGGTAAGAAGGCCTCATTCCTAACATCTCAGAGTCTTAGTGACCTCATGTACCCAGTGGGTATGGAAGTTATTTTTACCAGGCACCTACTATGCACCATCCACTGGGCTGTACACTTTACCCCTCCAAGCCTTGAAAACCATACTCTATAAAGTTGCTGGAAGGATTCAGTGGGATGAACTGTAATTACCCTGAGGTGTTGGCGATGGAGAGATCCAGCACAGTTCTTGCCACGTCTAAAAATGATTAAACAAACATAAACTCTACAGAAACCTCAGAGACACACAGTGCAAACTTTGGAAGATTCCACCACACCAGTATGGCTGCACAAAAGATAGTGTGGTTCACATGGCAGAGGAACTCACTTGGAGATCAAGAGGGCATTACTTCAGACTTTAGAAACTTGGGCATAGACAGGCAAGGCTTCAGGACTTCAGAGCTTTAGTGGCAGATTTATTCCTAGAAGCACTGGGTTCCCTCTGGGCTCTTAGCCCTGCACATAAGATTCATCTGTTGGAATTTAAAAAAATAGTGATGTCTAGGGCCCACCTCTCAGAGCAATTAGATACTGCGGACTAGTACTCTTTGAAAAGCTTTCTTAATTATTTTAATGTAAAGCCAGGAAGAGAAACATTGCACAAGAATATACAGCCTCAATTTCAAGAAAGAATTGGGGTAATGGGTGTCTGATTCCCATCTGGTGCAGATGGGAGATGCTCCTTAAATGTTTTTCTGCCTTCTTTCCTATGCTGTGACAGATATTATCTTAGGCACTTCAGAAAAATCGTGTATCTCCTCACCATAGTCTTGTCACATGGGGATGGTTATTTTCTTTTTATGAATAAGGAGGGCAGGAGTGAGAGCTATATAAGAGCTTTCTGAAATCACATGGCTAGAAGTGGCTCAACTGGGACCCAAAGCCTGGTCGGCTGGATCCCAACATCCTGTTTTTCCCAGCATGAAGAAAGAAAAGAAGATAAAATCCTCTTTCCTCCACACCAAACAACCTCAACAACCTCATCACCTTTGATATTTTATTTATTGCATTTTCTCTCTTCTCTGTGGATCAGTTCTTAATATGTTAGATTATTTGATGAGGAGTTTTAGGGATGATACATTTTACATTTCTAATTCTGATGGCACCACTTCGTGAATCTGACGGTCGATAGTTGTTTCTCAGCCTCACACTCTTTATAATAGAAATCAAAACAACAAAATTGGTGACTCCTAGTCTGGCCAGGACCCTTTGGAAACTGCAGAAGGAAACACATATTTACCCAAGACCTACTATGTGCCAGGCATTGTGCTAGGAGACATGCATGCTGAAATGAGTTAGTCCCTCCTATTGGGGTGGAGGAGACAGAATTATATACAAATACAGTTGACTTTGAACAACAGGGTGTTCTGGGCACCAACCCCCTTGCAGTGGAAAATCCATGTATTACTTCTGACTCCCCCAAAACTTAACTACTAATATCCTACTATTGACTGGAAACCTTACCAATAATATAAACAGTCAGCGCATATTTTATATGTTATATGTATTATATACTGTATTCTTACAATAAAGTAAGCTGGAGGAACAAAAACATTTTTTCAAATGGTCTCAAATCTCCAGAAAAATTTCCAATCTGCTTATTGGAAAAAAATCCACATATAAGTGGACTCATGCAGGTAAAACCTGTTGTTCAGGGGTCAACTATGTATTGGGTGGCAAAGGTGCCAGTGGCAAATTGCTCAAGTTAACACATGCAATTAATGTTGGTTGTAAACATGTGCCAGGCATGCACTGTTAAGTGCTTGATGGGAATCATCTTTTTAATTCTCACTTTAGCCTGTGACTTGGGTAGTTGGTATTATTTTTATCTTCAGTGAGAGAGAAAAATCTGCGGCTGGAAGGTTAGTAATTTGCCCTAAAGCAGAACCTCTCAGCCTCTGCACCATTGACCTTTGAGGTCTCATCGTTCTCTGCTGTTCTGTGCGTCGCAGGACTCTGAGCAGCACCCTTGGCGTCTGTCCTCTAGATGCCGGTAGCATCCCTTCACCCAAGTTGTCTCAACGAATTTGTCTCCAGACACTGCTTTCTCTCCTGGGTAGAAAGCATCTCCAGCTGAGTGAGAACCACAGCCCCAAATCTGCCAGTTTTCTTAAGAAAGAGAACTGAAGTTCCAACCTGGGCAGTTTGATTTGAGACTTGAGAGCTAAAGTGGGCAGGGTCCCATGCTGCTCTGCTAGTTAGAAGGGGACAGAGAAGGGAAGGCCTCGCATGGGAGGGGGAGGAGGGTTGCTGTATGGTGGACGTATGTTTGCATGGGGCTGTAAAGGATGAGAAAATGAAGAGACATTCATCTAAAAATTAAGAGGGGAAAATGACATTTTAGGCTCGTTAACACCTCCATCAGAACCAGTGATGAATGGGTTTTCCACAGAAGCTGAAACTGTGCCTGATGCTTTGAATTTCTGTATCCCGGAGAAATGCTTTTACTAAGGAATGCCTTGTGCCCCAACCTGCTGATTCAAACTTGCGGTAAGAAGGCCTCATCTATTCTGTGCAGCAGTAAGAGGGAAATGCTAATCTCTGTTCAGACATCTGAAAGAAGGCCATTTTGGAAATTCAAACACTCTTGGGGAAAAAAAATGCCCATTTGAGTTTGTCACATTGCGCGGTTAGAGCTGGCTGCCAACGGCCCCCCGGGTCTGTGAGTGGGGCTCCACCTCAGCACTTACTACCCAGAGGATTGGCTTTTTAATATATTTTTTGTCAAAAAGGCAATAATGTTTTTGACAAATGAGTTTCTGTGCATGGTTATATTCCTCCAGCCTGGGCGATGGGAGGCTGAGGGCTGATATTGGTCCTCAAATAGTCTGACCCCCCTCCCCCACCAACCACCCCTTTTGGTTTTTACATAAAAAGTCCCTATTTTGTTCTGACATTTAATTTCTTGAATAACAAATTCAGGTCTCCAGTGAGCTATTCTTTCAGTGACTTATTATAACGAAGGTATATTTTTCCATCAAAGAATCAACGTGCAGGTTTCTAAGGCTTTTGCCCTCAAGGTATAATTGGCCCCTCCCCACCACGTTGGGGAGCCGATCAGAGGGGTGACTTGCTTGGCGTTCTCTCTTGTCCTTCCCCTGCCCACCCACCTCCCCGGGTATCTCACCACCAGCAACAGCACATGGCTCACCTGGGCCCTCTCTGGACTCCGGGGAAGGTGTCCCTCTGAGAGCAGGGTGAGCGGCTGCTCTCCGGCTCGGGGGGCAAGGGCTGGTACTTCTTTGGGAGAGTGATGGGCGGCCTGCATGAAGAGTCACAGTCACAGTGGGGGCCTGAGAAGGTTTGCTGCACAGGTGGCTCCTCAGGGCCACACGGGCCTGCCCTCAGAGTCCCCAGCTTTGGGTCAGGAATGTCCCTTACAAGGCACTTGCTGCTCTGCAGGGCAGCCCGAGCCCATTCAGGTAGCTCCAAATACCAGAGCGCTCACTCTCCTGATGAGCCTGAAGCTACCCCTGCCATGTGCTCTTCGGCCTGGTTCCGTTTGCTAAAGGGTGTGATCACATGTGATTTTCTACAGAGTGCCATAGGTTTCTCAATATGCCACCTGTTTGAGTTTTGGGAGGCCTGGAGAAAATATACCAGCTTTCTTTTTATCCAGGACTGGAAGGCCTGAGATTTTTGGACTCCCCAAAGATGTCGGAAAATGTGCCCAAGTCAATGAATGACTCACCCACCCATTTACCCATTCATTCACTCAGTCATTTATAGTGTTATCAGGCACTGGTGGTAGTTGCTGGAGATGCAGAGAGGAGAAAGACACAGTCCTTGGCTCAAGATAGCTCCCTCTAGGAGGGCAGAGAGAGGAGGGATGAGAAGATAACCAGCAAAGGTAACAAGTTCTGGGGTGGAGGTACTCACGGGGCCCAAGGAGAACAACAGTGTGGCCACCTCGCTCAGAGCCCGAGAAATCAAGTCTGTTACTCTCACCTCTGTGTATATGTATAAATAGAGCAATATTTACATTTACATATCTACTATATATAAAAATACATGTACTTATATAAATATGTACTTAAATATTGTGAGTCCCTTGAAGGCATTTCCCAGCACAGTGCTATCTGGCAGAATTCTGTACTTTGGAGAGACAGGAAAGGATAGGCGAGCAAGGCATTTATCAAGAAATAATGAGTGAAGGTTTATTGAATAGATGATTGTGAATGAATGAATGAGTGATCACGTGGATGAATGAATGATAACAGGGATAAATGAAGGAAGGCTCATTTAATCCTGTTCATTGGCCAACTCCTATTAGTTTTTCAACACTACATGTTTGTGTTTCTCTTTTTAAATTTTGGAGCTTTTCAGATTCTGGAACTGACGTTTAAGTATAGAGCAAAGTAAAATACTATTTATAGTGTCTTACCGAGGAGGTGGTAGAGGAGTCTGCAAAAGCAAAGAGAGTCAGAAATTAAATTTACTGTTCTTGAGAAGAGCTAATGATTAACAATGTTTCAGTTTATGAATAGAAATTACAAGTCCCAACCAAAATCCCAGATATTTTTCAAGTAATATCTAAGCCATCACCTTGTCCACATTGTTATGCTTCTAAATAAGAATGGGTTACAAATGCATTTTAATGTTTTCTCTTACCTTGTTTCCCTTTGGGGGTTTGTCTCCTAAAACATAAAGGAAAGAGTCATGAGTGTATGGAAAATGTCATCAAGCTACTTTGACATGCGTCTAAATGGAAATTTTTTTCCATTTGAATAATCTTGATAATAATGCCAAATAATATTTGTTGAGCTATTATTAGGTACCCAGCACCATGCTAAATATTAATTATGTGATATCATTCAATCCTTACCTTTGTTTTGGAAATAAAGACACTGAAGCATGCGGGAGTGAAGTATGTCACCTCCTGTCACCCCTTAGTAAATATTGCATAAAGATTTCGTTGCATGTGGTATGACTCTTGAGGTCCTGTCTTAACCACTAATTCTTGGTTAGAATTAACATTCTTTTAAATAGATAGTCATCTCATTAATTCAAGTTCTCCCTAGTACCTTCATTAGACACTGCTGAGCAGAGGAAAATAGCATCACAGAATTTTCCAGAGAGCAGGGTTTTCTAAGACCCCAGAATCCAACTGTTCTATTTTATGGATGACAAAACCAATCACTGACTCAGTGGGGTGACTGCCCAAGACCACCAGCCCTAGCAAAGCCCGAGTGAGGCCTGGAGGGGGTTTCCCAAACTTGCAGGTAGTTCTATTTCCAAAATTCAGTTCAACACCAACAGTTGCTGAGCTGCTACTCTGAGTAAAGCATGGTACCAGTACTGCAGGTAAAAAGTCAAATCCAACATGATCCTCCCCTGGGGTGCTTACAGTTCTGCTTATAGGCCGAGGTCTGGGTTCTGGGGGTGTAATGGGGCAGGTTGACAGACATTGTCCCTGCTGCCATAGGGTTTATACCTAAGAGGGTAGACATGCATTGAAAACATTACAAATGTGATGAGAATTTCGAAGAGAGAAGAGTGTGGTATTAAAAGGACACCCGGGAGACTTAGTCTGGGGTGTCTGTAAAAGCCTCCCTGAGAGAGCAGTGCTTCTTCTCTGTAAAAATGGATGTGATGTAATAAATGCTGTTTTATACGGCTGTGGGAGGGGTCAGCGAGATGACACGTGCTCCTATTACAGCAGACTTAAGCTTCAGTGGACAGCTGGCTGCACAGCTATGTGCTGAGCTTGGTTTCCTCCTTCGTGAGACACAAGGTGGGACTAAGTGGTTTTTGCCCATGCTCTGAAGGGTGCCCTGGGCTCCTCCTGGGGGCTCCAGGGGCTGAGGGGCTGGGGCACTCGTTTCTGACTCATCACCGCATGTCACTGAGGGCCCCACTTCCATCTGCTTCCTACTGGATCTTCTCTTTTGAGGAAAGGCCCAGCTGGTCAAAAACAACCCAACCCAACACATACTGGTCTGGATCATTCTAAGGCTCAGGTCTAAAGCAATTATTTCACTGAACAAAATGCTCATCCTTCCTATTTTGTCTTTCTTTTTGGAAAACACTTTCTAGACAGACAAGATAGACTTCTCTGCATGAATTCTCACACTGCTGGCAAGCAGGAATCACAGGTGTTCTAGGATCATAGATATTCTTGGCATCATAAAAACACAATATGTGACCTGGGATGTATTTCAACGACAGCAGCAATCTAGTTGATCTTAGACCTTTGGCTATTTCAATGATATTACCAAAAAAGTTTGACCACATGATGTTACCTAAAATCACCAGGTTAGAAAATGTTAAAATTGACTTCTCATTTTGAACTGACTTTGCCTTTGGAGCTCCCTGGTGAACTATCCTGCTGCTCATGTCGATAACATTCCCTGGAAAGCTGATATGGGCTCTCTAAGAGGTCTTTTTCATAGCTCCCACTGTGTCTACTGGGGATCAATTCAATTCACTGGGAGAAAAATCAAGAGAGACTGAGTAGGTGGAACTCAATAGGAATGGTCCATTTATTGTTTCAGAGATACCTGTTCTATTTGCTTCAGTGATTACCTTCCTTTTATTCATTGATGTATTACTGAGCCCATAATAGGTGTCAGGTATGGATTCATTTTTAATATATTTACTGATATAGGTGTGGGGGAATACAATATAAAAAGGTTGCTGTTTCCGTGTAACTTACATTTCAATGGCAGGAGATGGAAAGCAAATAAACAAAATTATATGATGACCAGTGATGACAAGTGCTACAAAGAAAAGTGAAGCAGGCTGAGGGAGGTAGCAGGGGCATGGAGGGCTCCCCAGATGTCACATGAGAGATGGATGGGGCTGCCATTTCATAGGCAGATCCCAGAAGGCCTGTCTGTTTAGCTGATGAGAACTGCGGTCTGAGGAAAGTGAGGGGACACACCATGCACATATCCTGGGTGATATCTGGGAAGAGTATTCCTGACAGAGCAGCAAGCACAAAAGGTGGGATGGGTACAAGGGGTCAGGACGGCCTGGCAGGTGTTGGTAGAGGTTGGGAAGTGCCCAGCTCACTTGGCATCTCATAGGCTGTGGTGAAAACTTTGCTTTCATCACAGTGTGTCTTTTTGATACACTGTGTGTCCTATGCTTCATTATAAGGTTTTCTTTGGCATCAGTTTGTGTCCCCCTCACTTAGAAATTTTAAGTATGTTATTAGCAGCAGCTGTGGCAAAGAGGGGGCTTGGCTATATCAAATAGATCTATTATTTATGTAATCATTTATGCTTCACTTATTCATTGCTCAGATGACCAGAGTCCTACAAACAAAGCAGTAAGAGTCAACCTCAGGAACTCTGCAACTGAGAAAAGTGGACCACACAGGCCAAGTCATGTGCCATACTATCCTACAGCTCTGATGCTAATTCAGATAAAATCCAAGCAGCTTTGTTTTTTTTGTGTGTGTAGGGGGAGCTTGTTTAATAAAGCAACAGCAACTGGTATTTGGGATAATGGAAGAAGATGAGGTTTGGAGATGAGTTTCTTGAGTTTGAATCTTGATTCTGCTACTTTCTACTGGCAGGGTCATAGCAGTGCTCAGTAAATATTGATGAAATAAATACATGGATGGAAGAATGGTGGTTTTTTTGTCTGGAAAATTGAGAAACGATTACTCATACTTCATAGGAATTCATGTGTGGAATAATTGAGTTAATGCACCTCAAGTAACACGGCTTTTAATGCATTCCCAATGTTACTAGGATTATTGTATAATGGGAAATTAGAGGGAAAATGCAATGTATCCTCCGGATGAAGTGCACAGATATTCTCAAACACTATGGACAGTTTCCTGTCTGTCACCGGAAGAGACCCAAACAATTGTTCTTCAAGGCTGTTCCACCTTGAAATTCAAAAAAAAGCCATTTTCACAGGGAGGAGGCCAGTCCGCTCGCCATCTGGTGGCCATATGTGTAATTATCAGCATCTGTCCAGACAAGCGTCCTCATTTGCTCTTCAGTCTGAGACAAGATAGGTTTTACTTTGGCTGTAAAATTTATTGCTTCTTGGGAGGTAACATAGCGCATGAGCACAGCACGGCTGTAGAACCTGTGGACCTGGTTTGTCTTTTCCCTCCATAAGTTATTAGGGCAAAGACATTGTCAACCTTACAGGGTTCTGTGAAGTTAAAGCAAAACCTCCCAGAGAAGGAACCATCATGAGAGATCTGTGGGTGGTGCAGTGGAAAAGCTTGTGTACCAGCTTATAAAATTTTCAGCAATTTTGCAGTGCAGTTGTTAAACACAGCCAATATTAAAAATAAATTATATAAATGTATACTGAAGTTATATCTAAGACTGGCAAATTGTCTCCCGAAGTGGCTATACTGTTTTGCATTCCCACCAGCAATATATGAGAGCTCCTGTTGTTCCACATCATTGCCAGCATTTGGTGTTGTCAGTGTTCTAGATTTTGGCCATTCTAAAGGTGCATAGTGGTATCTCATTAGTGTTTTAATTTGCATTTCCCTGAGATATATGATGGGGGACATTTTTTCATATGCCTGTTTGTCATCTATATAGCTTCTTTGGTGAGGTGTCTGTCAAAGTCTTGGACTCATTTTTTAATTGGGCTGTTTTCTTACTGTTGAGTATTAAGAGTTCTTTGTATATTTTGGGAAGCAGTCCTTTATCAGGTGTGTCTTTCATGAATATTCTCCCAGCCTGTAGCTGGTCATCATCTTATTCTCTTGATACTGTCTTTCATAGAGCAGAAGATTTTAATTTAGATGAAGTCCAGCTTATCAGTTATTTCTTTCATGAATCCTATCTTTGATAGTATATCTACAAAGGCATCACCATACCCAAGGTCATCTAGGTTTTGTCCTATATTATCTTCTAGGAGTATTTTGATTTTTCACTTTTTAAGTCTATGATCGATTTGCAGTGAATTTTTGTAAAGTTGTAAAGTCTGTGTCTACATTTACTTTTTGCATGTGAATGTCCAGTTGTCTCAGCACCATTTGTTGAAGAGACTATCTTTGCTCCATTTTATTATAACCTCTGCTGCTTCATCAGAAATCAGCTGACTGTGGGTCTATTTCTGGTCTCTGTTCTGTTGCATTGATCTGTCTCTTCTTTCACCAACACCATGCTGTTTTGATTACTGTAGTTTTGTACTAAGACTCGAAGTTGAGTAGCATCAGTCCTCCAACTTTGTTCTCGTACATTTTTTCCCAGATACCTGGTCATTAAACATTTACCATTGCTTGTTATCTGGTTTTGGACCTACTACTGAGTTGAGTGACTTAATACAAATTGTCCTCTGACTTAATACAAATTGTCCTCTCTGAGCTTTAGTGTACTCATCTGTGATTTAAACATTAGAAAAGAACATGAGTAGGATCTAATAGTTTGTTTCCTGATAGAAGGGACGATGACACAATAGAGTGGTCACAGTGGGATCTTTGAAGTCATTCAAGCTGGGTTCTAATCCCACCTCTATCACTTACTGAGTAACCTTCAGCAAATTATAAAACATTTGGGGCTTCAGCTTTCATGTCTATAAAATTCACATAATGAAGTGAGTGGCTAGCATTAAATAAAATAATACTTGTTTTCCATTTAGTTACCAATTTGTGTTAAATATACACACTGCCTCTTATCAATGAAATATTCTGAAAACCAACACTTTCAGAAAT